TGTGAAGCGAAGCTGACGCCACGGCATCACTCCAGCGCCGGCAACAGGTGAGACTCTGCGTCTTCAAAAAAAAAATATAATATATTATAATAAGATAAAAAAATAAATATAAAAACATTTAAAAAAAGATAAACAAAATAAAGGCCGCGCTGGCTACGCCTGTAATCCTAGTCTCTGGGAGCCGGGTGGCGGATTGTCGAGGTTCAGGGAGTTCAAACCAGCTGACTGCGAGAGCGAACCCCTTACTATAATAGAAAGAAATTATGCCAATGTATACTATATTATAAAAAATGCGGCCGGATGGTGCGCATTGCTGTGTCCCAAGCTAACTCGGACTGAGGCAGGAGGACACTCTGACCCGGAATGGTGACTGCTGTGACAGCGACGCCACGGCACTCACTCGAGCTGGGCAACAAGGGAGACTTCTGTCTCAAAAAAAAAAAAAAAAAAAAAACAACAAAAAAAAAAAAACAAAATAATATAAAGAAAAAGAAAAGAAATAAAAAATACAAGATATAAAAAAACGAGGACCAACAAAAATGCAAAAATACAACAAAATAAAAACAATAAAAACAATAAAAACATAAAGAAAAAAAAAAACAAAGAACTGATAAACATTAAAAACCGAATAAGAATAACATACAAATAACAAAGGGACAACTATCATGTGAAGCAGAACGTGGACCACTCCGGCCATTTTTAGTCTTGGTAAAAAGAACTAAAAAAACACAGCAAATAAACAGATAGAAGCAAAGAACAAGATGCGAAGCAGCAGCAAGGCTCCAACAGGACACACACAGGCGCTCACGGTCCGTTTATTTGCCACTCGTCGTCGGACAGGCTTTTTTCTTTTTTTAAGAAGAAGAGACAACCAAAAAGCAAAAACGAAACCCAATTCCCCACGAACACACCACCAAGGCCGGGCAGCTTCAGCAAGCCTTCAAAAGGACTTCAAAAAATCTGTTAATCTCGATCTGATGGCACGGAAAGCCGTCAGGCAAGCCACTAAAAATCTGGGTTGAAAATGACTTTTTTTTTTTTTTTTGTTACTCTTTTAGTTTTAAAAAAAAGAAAAGGAAAAAAAAAAAAAAAAAAACAGGAAAGGTTTAGGGCCGAAGCCTCTCCCCTCCTCTCCCCACTCTTTGGCCTGCCTCGGGTCCTGGTTGACTCCCGCCGGCGCCTAGGCGGACGACGCGACACCAGCCTCCCTCCCTGGCCTCCGCTGTGCTGTCGCCTCTTACCCCCCCTCTGCCTCCGGGAGGCCCGAGGCCGGGCGGGGGCCGCTACAGGGCGTCCAGGATGTGGTCGATTCTTGCCAGCTCTGCCGCTGCCGAGAGGAGCTTGTCGTTGTCCACGTAGGTGTCCTTCTTCACCTTCCCCGCCACCAGCCTCGGCCTCACCGCGCGACTTGGAGACAGATCTCACTGCGGCGTCCAGGTTTGCATCTCGCTCACCTGCCGGGGGGGGGGGCGACGGGGAGGTTGCCACTCGAGACAGCACCCAACCCCCACACCGCAACCCGCAGCACCCAAAAATAAGCGCCCCGCCGGCCTGCGCCGGCACTCTGGGAGCGAGGAGGAGGATCGCTGATTGAGGCAGGAGGTTCTAAACAAGCTGAGCAAGAGCGAGCCCCGTCTCTACTAAAAACAAAAATTAATTGCAACTAAAAAATATATAGAAATAAACGAGCCGTCGGAGGCGGCATGCCGGAGTTCCCAGCTACTCCAGAGAGGCCGAGGCAGGAGGCTTCGCTCGAGGCCAGGAGTTCGAAACAGCCTGAAGCAAAGGAACCCGTCTCTACTAAAAATAAACAAATTATTGGAAACTAAAACATACAAAAAAATAATAATATATGAGGCCGGCGTGTGGATTGCTGAGTCCAGCTACCGGAGGGACCACGAGATCGCCTCAGGCCAGGAGTTCGAAACCAGCCTGAGCAAGAGCGAGACCCTGTCTCTACTATAAATAGAAAGAAATGAGCTGGACAACTAAAAAAAAAAAATATAGAAAATATTAACCAGATGCCTGTAGTCCCAGCTACTCAAACGGAGGCTGAGGCAGGAGGATCGCGCTCGAGGCCAGGAGTTCAACACCAGCCTGAGCAAGAGCGAGACCCCGTCTCTAATTAAAAAAAATAAGAAAGAAATGAATTGAATGAGTAAAAATATATACAAAAAACGAGCCGGGCGTGGAGGCGCACGCCTGTGGTCCCAGCTACTCGGGAGGGAGGCCGAGGCGGGAGGCTCGCTGGAGGCCAGGAGTTCAAAACCAGCCTGAGCGAGAGCGAGACCCCGCCTCTACTAAAAATAAAAGTAAATTAATCCACCAAGGAAAAATATATAGAAAAAACGAGCCGGGCGTGGTGGCGCATGCCCGTAGCCCCAGCTACTCGGGAAGAGAGGCCGGGGCAGGAGGCTCGCTGGAGGCCAAAAGTTGGAGGCTGCCTCCACGGGACTCACTCCAGCCCGGGCAACAGGGCGAGACTCTTGTCTCAAATAATAATAATAATAACGATAACGAAACACCGCGCGGGGCCGCACGCGAGCCGGACGGCAGCCTCGGGGCCAGGGCGGCGGGGGGAGGCCGGCGGGGGGAGGCCGGCGGGGGAGGCTCACCCGGTCGCAGAGGTCGGAGCCCTCCGCCTTGAGCCTGGACTGCAGCACGGCGATCTCGCCGGTCAGGGCCTTGTGCTCGGCCTCCAGGCTCTTGCGGCCTCCGCTGAGGGCGGCCGCATCCCGGGACTGCTTGTAGCGGTTGACGGCCTCCTCGAAGTGGCGGTAGAGGCCCAGCCTCTTGTTGACCAGCGTCAGCACCTGCTCCGTGATGCAGGCCACCTTCATCCGGGCCTCGGCCGCCGGGTCCTGCGGGGAGGGGGAAGGGGGGAGAGAGACTCCGCGTGAGGGGGGAGGCCGAGGGAGGAGGCCCAGGGAGGAGGCTAAAGCCACCGCGGCCACGAGCTGTCCCCACCAGGCAGCGACAGGCTCAGAGCCTCAATGACACTTGACCTCCAAGGTGACCCTGTGTTTTTTTTTTTTTTTTTTAAATTGAGGCAGAGGCTCGCTCTGTCCCCCCGGGGCTGGAGAGACGTGGCGTCGGCCTCCAACTCCTGGCCTCGAGCGAGCCTCCCGCCTCGGCCTCCCTCCCGAGTAGCTGGGACTACAGGCGTGCGCCACCACGCCCGGCTCGTTTTTTGTCTATATATTTTTACTCGTCCAGCTCATTTCTTTTCTAATATTTTTTAGCAGAGACGGGGTCTCGCTCTTGCTCAGGCTGGCCTCCAACTCCTGGCCTCGAGCGATCCTCCATCCTCGGCCTCCCAGAGTTAATTTATTTATATACATATATATATTTTTTAGTTGTTCAGCTGATTTCCTTCTACTTTTGTAGTAGAGAGTAGACAAGGGGTCTGGCTCTTGCTCAGGCTGGCCTCCAACTCCTGGCCTCGAGCGATCCTCCCCCCTCGGCCTCCCTCCCTCCCGAGTAGCCGGGACCCCAGGCGTGCGCCTCCACAACACCCGGCTCGCTTTTTCTTCTATATATTCTTAGTCGTCCCGCTCGTTTCTTTTTTTTTTTTTAGTAGAGACGGGCTCTCGCTCTGTAACTCAGGCCGGCCTCCACCTCCCGGCCTCAACTGCGGTCCTCCCTCCCCGGCCTCTCCCCCCGGAGTGCTGGCACGCCGGGCGCGGGCACCTTGGTGATGGAGAAGTCGAGCCGGACGTAGACGATGACGGTGAAGAACAGGACGTAGAAGGCGGCCACCACCAGCAGCGGCTCCTGCAGCATCAGGACCTTGTTGAAGGTGTAGTGCACCTGCGGGGGGGACGGGACGCGGCTGTCACCCGGCCCGGCCTCGCCCCGACACACACACCCCAGCAGGGAGGCCGCCCTCGGCCTCCCCGTTTTAGAGGCCGCTCAGCGCTCAAACCCCGCCAGCCCAAAAAAAAAAAAAAAAAACGGAGGGACCGTGGAGGAGTTCCCCCTTTTTTTTTTTTTTTAATTAGAGGCTGGCTGCGTCGCCCGGGCTAGGG